AGAGGGAGAAGCAGGCTCCCCGCTGAGCAGGGAGCCCAATGCGGGGCTCCATCCCAGGACCCTGGGATCATGACCTGAGCCGAAGGCAGCCGCTTAACCGACTGAGCCACCCAGGTGCCCCCAGCTTTCTCCTTTTAAACACGAGGGAATTGAGTCTCTGAAAGGAGAAACCACTTGGCCAAGTGACAAAAAGGAGTGGGACTAAAATTCAGGTCTGCACTCAAGGAATCCATGCTCTCATAAATGAGAGCACACTGCCCTGGGACTGTAGACCTAGGACTTCTTCACGCCCACAGGAGAAATTTGGCCACAGTCTTTTCTTTTCTTTCTTTCTTCTTCTTCTTTTTTTTTTTTTTTCAATTAAACTTGTGAACTTGTGTTGTTTCTTTGTTGCTGACAGGAAAGGAAACCAGACTAGAAGAAAAACGTCAAAAGAGTCATGGAGTTCTTTCTCAATGAGGAGAATAACTGTGAGGCCACATTATTCAAGAGAGATATTCTAGTAAAAAGTAACAACAGAAGTGAAAGAAGAAAGAGAAAGACATCCTGAAGCCATAAGAAGTAAACGAAGGAGGTGAATGAAGAGCTACACGGACCAAGGCAGAAAATGTTCCCTGGAATGGATTCATATTGGCAATAATGCTTAGCCCCCCTGTCCTACATGTCTGCAGATCTGTGGCTGTGTTGCTTACTCATCAACAAATTCCTTTATGCCCAACCTTACATCCATTATCCAGGCCCCACTGGCTGAGGAAGGCAAGAAAGAATAGAATGGGATAATGGAAACATGGTTTGCAAATTCCACTCAGATTAGGGATTAAGAAACTATACAGGTTTAGCAAGGGAACAATCTATCACCTCACATTTCAGGTTCAAATTCTGAATTGCTTTCTCTCAGTGAGAAAGGGACAGGTGGGGCTAGGTAGGGAGAGATAGGTAGGGGGCTACAGAATCAGGCTCACAGAAATCCCAAAAATGTGGAGGTGTGGGGAAACCAGAGATAAGGAAACACACAGGCCACCCTGCCCTAGGCATGTGGGGTGGGTGTCCTCTGTTATAACAGTCACCTGTGACCAACTAAGAATAACCAGACCCTAAGAAGAAGTAAGCCATTAAAGATGTCCTCACCAGTCCTTACTCAAGCCAAGACATCACAAGAAAGTTAAGGCCACAAGCTCCCTGGTCAGTTCTAAATAAAAGACTCAGTGGAGGCCTATGTTGGCAACCCTGTCGGGACCCCTGTCACTCTTGAGAGCCTTTTCTGTATCTTCACTTAATAAAATTCTATCACTTTACTCACTCTCCTTTGTCTGCAAGATTCATTCTTGGACTCCATGAGATGAGAACCTAGCTCTTCCGCTTCATCAGAACCATTGTTGAACTCCATGGTTAACTTCTATATCGAATCTTGAATTAGATATTAAGAAAAAAAAGCAATTGACTTACAAAGGAGCTATTTGTCAATAGGGTAATGATCTGTGTACAATGTACGGTTTACAATGAGACTGGATGTTATAATAGGTTATATCTGTTCTTTAGGATCATATAGACTGTAGTAAAATACTTAACATCCTGGAACTCACATATTTACTTGTGAAATAAGAATAACAGTACATATCTCAGAGAATTTTTGTGAAAGTCAGGTTAGATGAATATAAAAAAGTACAACACTTGGCATATGCAGTGGCCGGTGAGCATTGCCATTAACAGTAGTAGCAGTGCTAATAATATTGTATGAAGTATGTAGAGTAAGGGAAAATCTTACAGCGTATTCTGTGGTTCAAGGGTCTATCCCATTAGTAAGAGCTAAGATATAATACAAACAAAAATAGGCTCAATTCACATGGCATTGATTATTGAAGTCTTCAGAATGAATGAGTTCCTCAAGTGAAGAAACGCCAGAGAGAAGACTGAGAGCCACATGCTGGGAATTGCTCAGTCTGAAGAGAGGAAAACAAAAATCAGTCATAGACTTAGGAAGTCAACCTAGATAGGTCAGAGTTACAGAGACCTAGACAGAAGATTTAGACAGATGGTATTAACAGAGTCAGAAAAATGCAGCCAGAGAAAGAGGACCGAGAAATGAAAGAAAAGGACCTATGGTTTTGAAAGAACAAGGAATTTTATTTGTAAGTAACATATATCATAAGAAATATTTTTGTATACTTTTAATTAAAAAGGACTGTCTTTGCTATGAAAAGTAAGCTAAGTAGAATAAGGTGAACTTCGAAGGAAAACAGTTCACCAGTTTGTATAAAACTAATTTTCTTTAGAAGTTCATTCATTACAATAGAACTTACGATAATAAAAACAAAAAAAATCAATGTTTCATAATAGGGAATGGATAGATGAATTAGGGTGTATCTCTTATTGGACTGTGATGCAACCATTTCCAATAATGATGTAACATAAAAATGTAAGATTCAAATGCAAACATATGTGATCAGATACATGTATGTATGCATATACATAATAAAAGGAACAAAATAGAACACATTGCAGTGTTATCAATGAGATGAGAAATGTTTCCTTCTATGTATTTGTAAAAATTTCTGAGGGTTCCAAATTCATGAATTCCTGTAATAGTAAGAAAAAAAGCATTAAAAAAAAACATAATTAAACTCTGCATGTACAGCAGCACTGCTCACACTAAACTTGAGTCAATGGAAATGGCTATAAGGAAACTATGTTTCTCAAATATCTGCTGCAGGTCTGTGACTGAAATTGGACAAAATTAGGCCAAAACAGTTCTTTAAGGACAATGTGGTCCATACCTTCCAAATTCCCTGCAACAAATAGCTAACGGGGCTTCCACAGTCAGTAAAGCAAAGATGTAGGGTGATTTCCTGAAAAGCCCATCCCACATGTAAGGGGGGTGGAGTGTGACTGTAGAACAGATAAAAGTTGCTTCCTCTTCTCCAGCATACCTGTCCACACACTGCTCACTTACACAAAACCATCAGCAAAACCTTTTACATGATGAGAGTGCAGAGAAAGATACTCAGATCTGTAATATTGAAACTACCAAGCCTTTGTATTTCCCAAAGTAACAATTTATAACTCACACATATTAATTTTTACTTCAAGTATTTAGCTTTATGTGTATCCACCACATTGAAAAAAAAATAGATTACTCTGTGCCCCAATTTTATCACAATAAGAAGAACTGAATAACTTATAAGCCCAGTCTTCTCTGGTGAGTTATGAACAAGTTCGCCTTGCCAAGAAGAAAATTAAATTCCTACTGCATCTGGAAACTCTTGCTAAAATATTTTATTACTGCTGTTAAGAGGTTTAGAATAATGGAGGCAGTGTTAAAGTAAGTATACTATCCTCATTTTCTGTCTCTTTAATTGTTGAATTGTCTATTTTACCACCAGGGTTTCATGGTTTATTTAATGTCAATTCATGAAACAGAAGCTAAGGGAGAGCATGTACTATTAGGATCATGTAACCCCCCCAAATAGCCAAGAAAATATAAGCGATCATCTCAAATGAGCCATACTTATGTTTATTTTCATAGCAGAGAAACTTGCAAGATTCAACACATGTTCAAATCTAACTATCATCGGAGAAACAGTACAAGTTGGTTTAGACTTGGTCATAAAGAGAAGTAGAAATCAGTAAACGCGGAGGCTACTTAAAGAATTACTGAGCATATAAATTACATCTCTCTCTGTTTTTAACTGCAAATCAAGGTTTTACTGAATTTTAAGACAAACTGAAATGTCTCAGTTAATTTTACCAAAAATACACCATTTTCAATATCAATAGGCATCCAGATTAATTCACCGGAAAGATATGTAACATCTGCTCTGTGGAAGGCACTCACACCAGTGTGTCAATGGCAAGAACTTCTGATCCAATATTCCAGTGCTTCAGCGAGTGAGAACAACCTCCAATATTTTTAACAGGCCCCTGTGTCAAACAGAGGACATTAATGTCTTCCTCAGGTCGGGCGGTGGAAATGCTTTCTAATAAATCAAAGCAAAAGAATAACAATAGGTATTAGTGAGCATTTGTGTCCTTGGGTATTGATGTGACTCTAGATTAAATTCTTCAACAGCATGACCATTGGAAGAAAATTATGATATTTGTTTTTGCTACAAAATAAACTGCGAATTCACAGGGCCTGAGTCAAGTTGCTGATTAAATTTAGTAGCATTTCCTGTTCATCTTTTATGTACAAATTACAACCTGGGTTAGAAAGGTGAGTAACTCATCATTCTCAGCAGTAGGAGACACTTTTTTTGCCTGGTGGGCAAAAGTAGAAGAACAAACACAAAACTGATCACATTTTAAAAAGGATTAATCATTGATGACAGTATTTGAGGGGCAATATTTACAAGAAAATTCACATAACCAAGAGACTGTATATGTTTATGACACCAGAAAAAAAATCCTAATGGAGTTAATGGCATTTGAAGTGAAACCCAGAGATAAAAGTTTGAAGTAGCAGAAGGACTCCATCTTAAGATTAATCAACAGTGGGTTATTATGGATGAATTAAGAAGGCAAAAGAAGTAAACCTGAAAATTGCATTTGGAAGAATTTTTCAAAGAATTCGGGAATTAGGAGGCTCTACAGTAGAGGAAATGGACTTAAAATGGAAATGTGGGGATAAAATATTGACACATGGTAGACATAGAATTTGAATTGATTAAATATAAAGAAAATGGGAGAAGGATAATAGCTCTGGCCTTAATACACTAGACTTATTTACAGAAATGAGAAAGTCCAGAGGAATAGCACATTGTGGAAAACACTGAGGAGAGGAAATGAATGGATTTGTTTTTTTAACCTGCCCAGTCTCAGTTCCTTGTAGGGTTTTCCAAGGTAGATCATCAAGGAGACTGAAATGCAGGTCTAGAAATACAATTTCAGGATTCATTGATGCTTACAGCATGAGAATAGATGAGATTCCCAAGAAAGAAAGTCCCACAGAAAGGGTAAGTTGAAAGATAGAAGAAAGTTATTTGAGGGCTAAACCTAAGGGACAATGTCTGCTAAAAGATATTAAACTATGATAATGTAAATCAATGTGATTCCCATTTTTGCTGGCCAGTACTTGTCAATGAAATTGTTGTTTTATTGATATTCAACCCAGTGTGAGATAATTCAATGAGGTTTACAGTTTTATTGAGAATTTCACAGCCTGTGGAATGTCCCTCAGGTGATAAAAAGTATTGGAATACAATTCTATGGTACTGATGGGGTAACTTTTATTTTCTTCTAACTTGATAGCAATAAATAAATTCTAGCCCTTGTGTAGCATATTATGAAACATAAAAACTTAGAAATGCCAAGCAAATTTTTGTCCACCGGGCGTATTCTTATCCAACGGCAACAATTTTTCATTGATCTGATAAGCTATCATTCATCCTGTTTCCCTAAGATAGAACCAATTTTGTTTTATTTCCACCTAAGCAAAGGGAATTTCACTGGGTAACCATATTCCTTTCATGAACAAAAGATTTGTCAGAGTTCACTCTTCCCGTGCAACATTGAAGGTAAAACACTAATATATGAAAAGTAACGGTACTTAATAATAGCAACAACAACATAAGCTGCAATCCCTCCCAAAACACTGGCTTGGAAGAAAAGAGCCTGCAGTAGCAGGAAAATTCCTCCTCTGAATTTGCTTCTCAGCTACTATGTCTGCGGATGTCCTAGAACCAGTTCTGTCACAATACCAGGGAGACTACCTCTTTCCTGCCTCCGCTATTCGTCTCATGAAGGCATCACACCTCAAAATGGGATTTCCCGCTCATGCCCCTGATGGTTGAGCCACAATGTCCTCTCCTCCTTCTGGCTCACATGCTTCCGGTTTCTACTTCATTCTCAGACTGCTGGGTTTCGGGAGCGCCCGCAAAGTGGGAGGAAGAAATCTTCATTCAAGGTGTGACATATCCTTGTTAGCAAACCAACAAAATACTGCAGCCCATATTTTAAAACAAGTTTTTAGAGTCTCTTCTAAACTTACACATTTGGGATCACAGTTCTTTCTTTCTAATACTCAAGTATAAGATCATGGGAGCTAGGCAAGATGTTGACTGGGGGACACACTTTCAAAGAACATCTCAAAGTCCTGTGTCCTCTTTGACACAGTATCTCTATGCCCTTCTCTCTTCACTTAGAAGAAATTTTTTTCCCCCAAAATGCTCTTTAATTGTTCCTAGGAAGAAAAAGAAAATAATTCTGTAAGTCTGACTTATTAGACTTTTAACATTAAGGATAAAATCTCAGGGTGAATATAGCTTAATACTAAAAATTAAGGAAAAAAGAAAATCTGCTCATATTATCATCATCATCACTATCACCGTTGTCATTGCCATTATTCCCAATTGCAGTAAAATGAATTATTGTTCCATTTTTTCACCCCTCCCTGTAATAGGATTACATCCAAACCTTTTGTATCCTAACTCTGCAGTGGTGCTTCCCCATAGGGTAGGGGAGATAGCCATCCTTACCCTGAGAACTTTGGACTGAGCCTTGTGACTTCCTTTGGATAATCTTTTTTTTTTTTTTTTTAAGATTTATTTATTTATTTGACAGAGAGAGACACAGGGAGAGAGGGAACACAAGCAGAGGGGAGTGGGAGAGGGAGAAGCAGGCTTCCCGCCGAGCAGGGAGCCCGATGCGGGGCTTGATCCCAGGACCCCGGGACCATGACCTGAGCCAAAGGCAGATGCTTAACGACTGAGCCACCCAGGTACCAGAGCCAGACTACCTTTAAAGATTGGCTCCTCCACTTTCCAATTTGAAGGACCTAGCAGGCGAGCTACCGGCCCCCAGGAGAGGAGAATTATGGAAATGCGAGGAGAAAGTCTTTTTCCCCATTTCCATCCCTTATTGTAGAACATCTTGGGCATTTGATAGGGCAGGGCAGCCACTCTTGCCGTATGTCATTGTCCTTTGGAACAATATTCAAATAACAGGTACAGTCAACAGAGATATAAATGGGGCTCCTGGCCTCAGAGCAAAACAGCAAAAGGTGATTTTTTTTTTTTTTTGCACATGAGAGACCACTAGCTTTGGGGTATTTCAGAATTAACAGTCTTCAGTGAAGGGCAGATACTGCTACTGAATAGGTAGAACCTCAGAGCTAGTAAAATTCATGAGTTGATATTAATGTGGTGAAGCCTTAGAAAGATGTGTTACACTATATTTATCCTTGAATAAATTTAATTCATTTCAACAAATATTTATCAAGCATTTACTATGTGTGAAGTGTTATTGATGGATAAGAATGAAAGTAGCAGACCTAAGGCAGTGTAGCTTATTAGTTTATGCTTGTTTTAAGTAAATTTCAGATGACTTAAGATTGGAAAGCATATTTCTGTCTTATCTCTTCATGCTTGGATTCAGCGTGGCTGACAGAGCCCTGGATTAGTGGCGGGTGGGATGTCTGTGTTCGGTGATATTCACTCACAGTTATCCTAACACCATCACTTATTGGTTCTATCTGCCCCACCTCAATTTTTTTACTGGTAAAAGGCAAAATTATCTTAAACGACCCCCAAATTAATATTCTCTCTAAATCTAAATTTCATAGTTGAACTTTAGAGTCTCAATCTTTTACCATTATCCTTATTTCAGATAACCCTGACTCTGTAAATGTTATCACACCAGTGAATTAAAAGAATGCTAAGCAGTGATCTTGGAGAGGAAGCGAGTGGGATTTATCAGTCATACTCATCCAAATGTCAATACAAACATCATCAAGTTGGATTATTATAATTCTACACAGCATTAATTGAGGGAAATCCTCAAATAAATAAGCAAGTATATTACTTGTATCTCTGTGTTGTGTTACATGCATCTTACCCAAGGACCAACAGGAAAGTCAGGAAGTGTGCTCAACGGAAGAGTTAAGTTTGAGGTGTCAACATAATGTGAAACAACCACTTAAGCAGGTACCAAACTTGATTTTTTTTTTTATTTTGTTAAAGATTTTCATTTCTCACACAGCACAGCAGACACTACCATTGGAAAATCTTTAAAAGAAAAAGATTTTCGCACACTATAAACATGACTTAGGCAAAGTAGGACTCATTAGCAGGGTATAGATAGCATGGACCTAATTCCACCGGAAGCTCTGTAACTATATGAAAGCTCTACATCAGAATCAGAATTAAAAGCACCTTTAATAGCAGGTGGTTAAGTTCTAAACCTGTAGCGTTTTTACCTGATCCGTCCAGGCCCTGAGTCTGAATTTTTTTTTTTTTATTTTACTACTGAAAGATTCATTTGAAAACAGAAATTGCCATCATAATTCTACTATTACTAAAACTGCCATCTGTTCTAAAGTTAATAAAAATAAATAGCTGATATTTAAAAAAATGAAACTTCATTTATTCGACATTTACTGTATTAGGGAGAATACACTGGAAAAAAAGAATTGCTGCTGTATAAAAATATTTCTTTCTTTCTGGGAAATAATATGTTTGTATTTTTATTTTTGTAAACCTTTTCTAATCTATACTTATACAACTATTTAAAATTTCAGTGTTAACCTACACAAAGAGAATAAACAATTTACAAAGCAACTTTATTTATAGTTTCTGTCAAAGAAGTAGTAGATCCTAATAAATTTTGAGCAGTAAAAAATATCTTCTCATGTTACCCAAAATCCAGTCTTCAATTCTTACCCCCTCCTTTTAATTTTTTTAGGATTGTCAATTGTCAATTTATTTCCTTTAGCTTCTCAACCCTTCTGATACAGTATTCTAGAAGGGGGTCTTAAGTACACACACACACACACACATTTAAGATCCCAGAATCATGTCATTCAAAATATTTGATGCAACTGTCCTTAAGACATACTTATATTTTCTTTATACTAGGGCAAAGTGGTTATCTTTATTTTTCTAACAGGAAAAATACAAACAAAACTGGATGAAATGTTTAAATCTTGTATGTCCCTTAAGTTAAAGGATCAGTATCTCTCCCTGAGGCATTTTTGCCTTTTTATTTCAGATTAGGGCTAAATATCAATGGCATAGATCATATTATGCTAGTCTCATAATATCATATCATAATATCATATAACTACTATTAACACCAGTTAAGGAAAAATAAGGACATTACAAACTAAAACATTTAATGCCATTTTAAAGAGATGACTAAGTATACCATGATATAAATTCAATAAGAACCACTGCAAATACTATATCTTATTTAATTACCATATAAATACGAGAAGATGCTATGCTGAAAATATTTAGGTTTGCAAAAATTGTTTCATTTCTTCCTAAGACAGTACTTTTTTAAAAAATAAAGTACTAAGACAAAATAGATTTCAAGTGAGTTTTCAATCAGGATAAATGTATTTCACAGAAGATGGTAGGAAACAAAACAACTAACTTCTAAAACCATTTACCTACATTGGTAATATAAATACAAGGGAAGGAAATTTTTGCTTGTAGTGAGTGGTTATTTGTTCATGAGTCCTCTCCCCATAACCCCCTAAGGGGGAGGGATGGAGGGTTCTTCATTCTTTGTCATTAGGAGAACCTTAAATGTGCCTTTATAGTTTCAGGAGGCTGTTGTCTGGTTTCTGGCTTTTTTGCCTAGGAAATATATAGGACAAAGGATGGGCTGAGTTACTGCTTTAGAGCAGATCACAAGAGGTGCAATGGTGAGGAGGCAGAGTCTGTTGGGGTGAAGACTATATATGATTGTTTCCCATGAACCATCCTGTAGAGGTAGCATGGGGTCATCTTTGGTCCTGTTTGATACAGCTTCTCTGGACAAAAAAGCTAGAGAAAAAAGGGGTTGAGAGATGCATAAGGATTAAAAAGCAGTAAGTGGGAGAGAGATTCGATTACTTTGTTCAAAGAAATGCAGCTGGAAAAATGTCAGGGACAGAAGGAAAAAGAGTCATTACCAGGTCATCACACTAGTACCAGTTGGTTCAGAACATTTCTTCCTCCTCTATCTATTCATCTGCCCCATGCTCGAATTTTGAAAGACATCAGAAAATATCCATGGTGAGATGGGGAAAAGGAGTAGAGGAGTACTAGGTGAGAAAGGAGAAGATAAACTGGAACTCACCTTTAAAATTTTTTTTAAAAATTATTGAAGTATAGTTGGCATATAATATTATGTTAGTTTCAGGTGTATAACATAGTGATTTGACATTTATATACCTTATGAAGTGATGAACCACCATAAATCAAGCTACCATCTGTCACCATACGAAGTTGTTAACAGTATTATTAACTATATTCCCCACGCTGTACATTGCATCTCCGTGTCTTATTTATTTTATAACTGTAAGTGTGTACCCTTAATTCACCCTTTAGTCTTTTTTCCCTATTTCGTCCATCTTTCACCTCTCCCCTCTGGCAATCACCAGATTGTTCTCTGTATCTATGAGTGTGTTTCTGTGTTGTTTTGCTTGTTAATTTGTTTTGTTTTTTAGATTCCACAGATAAGTGAAATTAAATGGTATTTGTCCTTCTCTGTATGACTTATTTCACTTAAAATATGTCCATCCATGTTGGTCACAAATGGTAAGATTTCATTCTTTTTATAGCTAGTAATACTCTGATATATATCACATCTTCTTCATCCACTCATCCATCCACAATGGATACTTCAGGGTGCTTCCGTATCTTGGCAATTGTAAATAATGTTGCAGTGAAAACAGGAGTGCATATATCTTTTAAATTAGTGTTTTTTTCTTTGGTTGAAATACCCAAAAGTAGAATTTGCTGGATTATATTATAGTTCTATTTTTAATTTTTTTTTTGAGGAACCACCACACTGTTTTGCATAGTGGCTGCACCAGTTTGCATTCCCACCAAGAGTACATAAGTGTTCCCTTTTCTCCGAATCCACACCATCACTTGTTATTTCTTGTCTTTTAGATAATAACCATTCTGACAGGTGTGAGGTGGTATCTCCCTGTGGTTTTGATTTGTATATCCCTGATGATGAGTGATACTGAGCATTTTAATGTGTCTGCTGGCAATCTGTATATCTTCTTTGAAGAAATGTCTATTCAAGTCCTCTGCCCATTTATAATTGGATCGCTTGCTTTTTTGATATTGAGTTGGGTGAGTTCTTTATATATTTTGAAAATTTTTATTTTACGTAGGACTGGACATTTTAACTTTTGAGTTGTGATTCAGAGGAACTAGAGAACTTTTATTGCCTAAGAAAGACAAGAAAATTCATGGAATCTGCATAAGTTTTCATCAGGGGCATGGAAACAAATAACTCCACACACTGTATTTTAAGGAAATGGGAACTAAAAATAAAATCACCTGTAATTGTTGCTTACAAGTGCAATCAGTTCTATTAAATTGAGAATCTAAGAGCTGATACATTTAGTAATAGCAAATGAGTCCAAATAAAAAGAAAATTGGGGGCGCCTGGGTGGCTCAGTCGTTAAGCGTCTGCCTTCGGCTCAGGTCATGATCCCAGGGTTCTGGGATCGAGCCCCGCATCGGGTTCCCTGCTCGGCGGGAAGCCTGCTTCTCCCTCTCCCACTCCCCCTGCTTGTGTTCCCTCTTGCTGTCTCTCTCTCTGTCAAATAAATAAATAAAATCTTTAAAAAAAAAAAAGAAAAAAAGAAAATTGGTAGAGATTTACTGCATCAAGTAATAACTAAAGAGGAACTTTTGGCTACAATTGCTTGACTTTTTTTCTTCTCATTTAATTTATTGTATTTTTTTCTTCATAGTTTGCCTTAAAACAGGAATCTTATATTTCATATCAGTCAGTTACACATTCCTGAAAATCAGATGTTCTGTGCCAAAATGCTAACTGGTACCTATTTCCTATTATGTGAAAAGGGAGAGATTATGATGCATTACACAATAATCTCAAATTCCAAGGTTGATTTATTATAAAGCTGATGAAGCTTAACCTTGAGAGCTCCTTGCTTGAATGAGCACCTTTCAAGATCTTGGAAGAAAGCTTAGCAATAAATGCTTATAACATTAATAAATGTAGGATAATTGTGTATTCTTTTAAAGAAGACTCCTCTCAAATATTATAAGCCATAGCTCTTACTTAGATCACTCTAGTAAAACACCTATTTCTTAAATGTAGATAAAACACAGAAAACTGTTATATGAACATGCTAGGGAATAAAATGATTAAAACTTTGTTTCCTGATTACCAAACAATTGATACAGATAGGACAAAGAGTTGCCTTTGTGTATAGCAACATCTTTCCCACTATACTATGTTTTTTCATTTACTTATTTTCTTTTTTATAGATACCTTCTTTGATACTTTCTTGATTTTAGGAAGACTCATGTGAATCTAGTTTAAAATAAGGGTTGACTTTGCAGGGCACTCCGGAAACACCTTTAGGACAAAGTACGTGGGTAGAGAATGGTTTGCAGTAAGTGTGATATTGGCTCTTATAGCCAGAAATATCTCTAATACATGTGTGTGTCTTTTATTGACACATGCTTCCCTTTTCAAAATATTTGATGGGATTGTCATGGTTTCCTAATTGTATTTGAAATGTAACTGAAGCGCTTTCATGCACCTTGTTTTCTAAACATGGTTGTATTTTGCCTTGCACATGTGAATATGAAATTTCCTCTGTAAAACATCAGCTTCAAAAGGTATTGAGAGTTACATGCACTTGGTGAAGTTTAAGTATTTAAACACTAAGGGTGTTCTACTGGGAATATGGTAATAGAGATGATAGATTTGTGTAAGCTTACCTTCACTTTCAAAACTTGCTTAATGTCACTGCTTTGCAGTTATGTATGAACCTCCATGGCACCACTAAATAATAAATAGAAGAAAATAATAACAAAAATAATCTTTATTATTTTTGAATATTTCGCTAAATCTTTTCAAACACTATTTCATATAATCTTTCTCACAATCTAATAAATGTGTATTATTAGGTCTACTTAACAGATCAGAGAACTAAGAAATTCATTAATTTGTCCAAGGGACACAACTCTTAAGTGTCAGAGCCACAAGTCAACTGCACTTCATTCAATTTATTCAAAAAGTATTTACTGAGCATCTCTTTAACACAAGATATACCAGATTGCTTTGCTTAAATTATATATCATACAACATGCACTATAGAGATTTACTTCTACAGAAATTTGCACAGGTTTTCTATTAAAAATCCTTCTTTGGTAAATATTATGCTGATGAAATCCACCATGCTCTTCTGGTGGGAGTGCAAATAGTCCCAGACCTCTTGAAGAACAGTGTGACAACATTTAGTGAAATTAAGTACGTAAATACTCAAGATACAAAAATCACATTCTAGGCTATCCATGATGGGAACTGTGGATCAATTCAAGTAAATGAAGTACATACGGATACATCTAAAAACTAGTGTTGAGTGAAACAAGTAAGAAAGGATAAAGAGGATAATGTTACAGCACAGTATTACTTATATTATAAAATGTACTTAACAAAAACATATAAGTATAGTAGCATCAAAAACACTGGGCAGACTTCAAGGATCCATGTGTATTCAAAGAACTAAATTGACCTCATTAAATGATCACCAAAAAAGGAATAGGAAATAGGAATTAGAATAAAATTAAATTAAACAAGGAAGAAATTTTCCATAGAGTTATCATGACAATGTTTCACAAATTAAGAAATATTATTAACTCTAATGATTGACTTGAAATCCTAGAGGAAAAATAACCAGATTATGATGTTCCATCCTCAAAATTTTGATTCAATCTTCTGATTCAGATTGGCTTTGCTTAAGATCAAACACTACTTACGGGTTGGAATATAATGTAAAATAAGATTCAGCATGGCATTCACAGAGTCATCAATCACCAAAGACAGTCTCCTCCAGGCACTAGCCATCACTGATCTCATTTTATCAGATTATTTATTCAAGTAAGAAACATTTCATTAAATTCTCACTTGAATAGCTAGAAGTGATAGAAAACAAAGGCGTAGCCTTGGTAAACCAGTGTGTTGAAGTATAGTTTGCTTCTTTTTATAATATAGTTAAAACAGTATTTCTCAAATGTGGTTTGCTATAAAATAGGATTCCTTGAACAGTTTCCTGTAGTATTAATATCTGATATATAATATGACTCTTTCCTTCTTTCTCTCTCTTTCTGTTGCTCCATATATAGCTGTAACTATAGCTAAGTATAGATCTATAGATATAGGTATACATTCTTCATACAAATACATATTCTTTTTTTATGAGACTTTTTTTTAAAAGATTTTATTTATTTATTTATTTGACACAGAGAGAGAGAGAGCACGAGCACAAGCAGAGGGAGCAGCAGGCCCTGCTTGTGTTCCCTCTCTCACTGTCTCTCTCTCTCTCTCAAATAAATAAATAAAATCTTTAAAAAAAAAAAACAACCTTATATTCTAGAAGTTGACAATATAGCTATATGGACCAAAAGCTGAAATCACCTCAGATTGGTGATTCAACCCATTTTTTTCTGTATGTGTTTTCTTTAATTCTTTTTTTTCCCTATATTCTTTTGACAAGAATGTCTCCCTCTAGGGCTCCTGGGTGGCTTAGTCAGTTAAGCATCTGACTTTGGCTCAGGTCATGATCCCTGCGTCCTGGGATCGAGCCCTGCATCAGGCTCCCTGCTCAGCCGGGAACCTGCTTCTCCTTCTCCTGCCAGTTCCTGCTCTCTCTCTCTCTCTCTCCCAAATAAATAAATAAAAGAATTTTTTAAAAATAATAATGTCTTCCTCCTTCTTATTGCCCGGTGCAATACCACTTTCATCATAGTCATATTCACACTACGTTATACTTTTCTGTTTATTTCTGTCTTTCCCACTGGACTGTGAAGTCCTCTGAGACTATCTCTTGCATATCTATATCATTAGAAAACACTGCAGGCATGGCATATGTAAGCTCTTGTCTGCTATATATTTTTTTAAATATTTTATTTATTCATTTATTTGAGAGAGAGATAGTGAAAGAGAGAGAGATCATGAGAGAAAGCAGGAGAAGGGGGGGGAGGGGCAGAGGGAGAAGCAGGCTCCCTGCCAAGCAGGGAGCCCTACAAAGGCTCAGTCCCAGGACCCTAGGATCATGACCTGAGCTGAAGGCAGATGTTTCACCACTGAGCCACCCAGGCACTCCTTGTCTGCTATATTTGTTTAAAGGGATAAGGAGGGGGATGGGATGGATATCTTCAATATACATTCCTGTTGGAGGTCATCTCTCTAAAATATATCTGAACAAGCGGTTAGTGAAGCTGTGGGGTGAAAATGACCTTAACTTTATTTTCTTTCACCTGAGGATATTTGAATGAACAAAACATCGTATATTTATAGGAGTCTATTAGTAAAAGACACATTTCAGTAGCAGCACTTTGGTTCAAATTGGTTTCTTTGGATGCAAATTATCAGGACCTGACAGTCTCATTGCAGCTGAATATTAGCGCTAGTTCGGTTTATTCACTCTCACCCTTGGAACGGGAATACTTTTTGGGTCTGAAAACCTATTTCCAAAAGCCCAGGTGAATTGGTGGGGTGGAAGAGATAATCCTGCAGCTGCTTAGTTAATAGTAATGCAGCCATCATTCCCCTCAAAATCCAAGGTATGATGAAAAGCTGTAAATCTAGAGTGGAATATCCAGCCAAGGCTTCATGAAACAAAATTCCTACCACATAAATACCCAAGCCCACTTTCCTGTTGGATATTTGGCACTACGAAGAGTGCCAATTCATTTCCTATTAAGAAAGGCATCATGAATATAGCCAGAAAATAGCTTGTTTGAGTCTCCTTCAGTACTAGCAATTACCTGCATCCTTGAAAGATAGAAAGAAAGGCATGGGGTCAACAAGGGTGGACAGCTGGTCAATCCTCTGGGCTGGGAACTACATGAGAGCTCAGCAGTGCTGTTTAAATGTGGAGTGTCATTAAATTGGCATTTAATTGAACACTATAAACAATGTCACTAGTACAACCATGTTGCTAACGATTAACCCCAAAGTAATCAGATGCTGTTATGCATCTTCTGGTGGCATCTTGAAATGTCACTTACCCAAGGGCTGTCTTGGGAGAAATAAAGAAAATACCAATACTACAGATGAAAAAAAAACCTGTATAAAATGATAATTTTATTTAACCTTACTTTTTACTTGTCTCAATTACAACTAAGTCTACATAAGACCTGTCTATGAATCAGTGTGTACAGAACCTACATAATTTTGTTTTTTAAAAACTTGTTAAATCGGTGTTTAAAATAAAAACATATTTGAGACTTTGCAATCATTTGCTTTGAATCTGACTTACCATTGGTAAAAATGCATTTATGTTTTGGAATAGTTGTTAAATTTTATGATATTCTGAAATGGCAGCTGTAGACTTCCCACTATTTCTGCCTGTAATGCGTACTGCCTAATCATATATGATTTCTTCTACAAGTGCCAATCCTGAGATTACACGTCCCTCCTCAAGTATATATGTATTTGCATAAACTCTTTTCATTTATATCTGTTTGTATATGTTACCTAGGGGATTTATACATGGAATTTTTGATGGCCCAGATTTTGGCCAAAACAGAGCACTATTTAGAGAAAAAGTTTCCATCTATATGGATGTGGCTGTGTCAGCAAGAGGAAAGCATAAAGAATCAGAAGGTGAAAACAAAAGATAAGGGGAGCTAAAAGCAAGAGAAAGATGGTTTAAAGATAGGCTGAGTATCTCTGGAGAGCTGGCTCAGGAACATTTCTGAGTGAGTGAGAAACCCACTATAGACATTTAAAATAGGTAGAATGGCTCTGAAGACCTAGATCAGGAAAATTTTTGATTGAGGGGGACACAAAAATCAGCTTAATATATCAGACACCCTCCAAGTTATTTCAGAATAAACCCAGCCTTTATGTCTAGAAAACCATCTGAAATAGATGTTGTATGTCTTCTTTATTCAAGAGACCTGAGAAAGATTGCTCTGGAGTAATATCAAATTACATTCAATTTCCAGAAACATATGGTCACCTACTCTGTGCCAACCATTGTGTTTCACACCAGAGATACAACCATGAAAAAGATGTGGACATTGACCTCAAGGATCTTATACTCTGTTGAAAGAAGCAGGTGATTTCAAGATCTTTTGAACAGTTTAAATAAAACAAATAAGTACAGGATGCTTGAGAACACAAAGCAGGAAAACCTAATTAATCTAAAAGGAACAAGTCTTCCTATAGGGAGTGACATCCAAACCAAATTTGAAAGAGGAATTAGGAATCAACCAGGTGGCAGGAACAGGAGAGGAATGAGAGGCAGAACTGTTTTCTAATCAAAGTTCTAGAACCAAAGACACTTGTACTGAGATAGAAGACTAGAGAGATTAAGAAGGAGATCTAAAAAGACCCTGGACTTTTTTTTTTTTTAACGATTTTTTATTTATTTGACAGAGAAAGACACAGCGAGAGAGGGAACACAAGCAGGGGGAGAGGGAGAAGCAGGCTTCCCGCGGAGCAGGGAGCCTGATGCGGGGCTCGATCCCAGGACCCTGGGATCATGACCTGAGCTGAAGACAGATGCTTAACGACTGAGCCACCCAGGTGCCCCAACCCTGGACTTTTTTACTAAGCAAAATAGGGAAGAGTTGAAAGACTTTCAAGAGAGATACTGCACTTCTGCATTAGAAAGATGCCATTAGCTGTAGTGTGGAGAATGATTAGGAGGACGGATAAGGTGAAGATCAGTTAGGAAGCTACTGTAGCATTGCAGACAAAGGATGATGTGGCCTGAGCAAAGGGGCAATAATGGAGATGGGGAGAAATAGAAGGATTTGCGATATATTTAA